AAAAAAAAAAAAAAAAAAAAAAAAAAAAAAAAACCTTATCATCCTTTTAGAAATAGGTTTTCTTGGTTTTTAGAAAGCTCTTTTTCGGGTCTAAGGTTGTATGTAGAGGTGGGCTAAGTCGGACATTTTGACTGCGTTTGCGCTCCTTGCAGCTACCGCATTGCGATGAGAATATTGGTAAGCTCTGACGGGGGGAGAATAGGCGGAGGAGAGAGCCCCTGTGGGTTGCTAGCCAGCCAGCATATCCACTAACCGGGCCCTAGTGGTTGATTTCATAATCAACCTCCGGTCTGACCCTCGCATACGAGGGTCCGCCACCTCAACGTGAAAATTATTTTATCCAGGATATTAAATTAATTTATCAATGAATGTAGAAAGATTCATTAAATACAACTTGCTTATGCAGTAGACAATCTATTTATGACTCTTCCTAGTGAATTTGGTGGCTCTAACATTAATACCCTTGTCTCTACAATATTGTTTAAGTTCCACCATAACTTTCTTCCATTTCAAGTGCAACTTCTTTAGTGCCTCCTGATTATCAAGCTTTTGATGAATGGCTGTCATCTTGCGTATATTAGATGCGGATATGACCCCTCCCTTATGTACTACTCTTCAGGATGCTTGCTGGCGGCGTTCACAAGCTGCAGTGGCTGCGGCAGTTTTTGAGAGCTCATCCTGCAGAAGAGTCACTGTATTGACCATCATGATACTGCCCTTATAGAGCTTCTCTAGCCCAATTTGAATATATTCAGAGTCTTTGATGTCCTCCATAGCCTCCAATTTGCACTTATATCAGTTGAATTGATGTACAGTTGAAGGAGTATACCAGGTCAAGGAGTTGATGGAAACAGATGTAGATGGACTCATAGGAGTTGTCTCAAACTCATATAATTTATTAAGGACAATGGATGGATTGAATGGAACCAGGCCTGTTGCTTCTCATCCTCTCTTGATTGTATTAATTCTGAATGTCATCTTTCATATAGAGGTGATGGCATGAAGGAATTCAACTTTTGTAAACTTCTCACAACCATGTCTTGTTGCTTCTTTGACTGCCAATGAATGATGATGCTTGAACACCTGAAAAAACCCCTACATCCAGAGGCTGTAATAGATGACTTGTATGTGAAATAAGATAGAAGGGGATGATGTTATTCTTGTTGCAATAATTCATGAACTCATATGTGCAGTGGGAGTCAAAGCCATCCAATAGAAGCAGATAATGAGATCCTTTGATGTGACTCTTCATAGAGTGATGGAAGTGTTGAATCCACTGAAAAAGTGATTTGATCATTGTTATAGCCAGTGTCTGCCATGTCTATCATGACATCCTTCTCAATCTCATTGGTCCAGTGCTCCTGTAGCTGCTTCATGATGAGAATGTACAAAGAAGAGATGATGAAGCCATCTGTTGAGACTGCTTCAATGATTGTAAGATTTTCTCTATTATTTGAGCTTCCAACATAAGTCTTGTCTTTGAGGATCTCACATCACTATCCACTGATCTCATCCAATTCCTATCCTGAACCCTGTTTCATCAAAGTTGTAGATATCACTTGAGTTGGACTCCAAACTTATCCACTATCTCCTTAAAATGATTAAATCAATCAAGTATGAATGATGGCTCATGGTTTGGCTTCCTTGCCATGTCAATGGTCTTCTGTCATTGTATATTGTATTCAGGATGACATTTGATGAATCTTTTGACTCAATGTTCTCCAATCTCAGGTGAAAGATCAATGAGATTTTCCATGACTCTCTGCAAGGACAAATCAGGCAGCACCAAGTATCATTGATCAATTGGGAGATAGGCCTATCTTATCTAGTGTTTCTATATACTGACAGAGTGATTTTCCTAGCCAGAAGATAGTAATCAGTTAGCAGGAGTTCTTTTGGTGTGAGGGAGGGGCCATGGAAATGATTGATCAAATGTGAGTAAGGAACATTGAATTCTCTTGCCAATGCACTAATATTAGGATTTTCAACATCAGCTATGGATTCTAGAGCTTCTGTGATCTTATTCTCTATTAAAATATATGAAGAAGTCAATGTGTTGACTGGTTATTGAATTTTGAAGATGGAATAGAGTATGTAAGAAAATATTTCACGTTGAGGTGGCGGACCCTCGTATGCGAGGGTCCGACCGGAGGTTGATTATGAAATCAACCACTAGGGCCCGGTTAACAAGGATTCTACTTCATCTGGTGCAACCCGCCCCCAAGTATCACTGTCAGGAAAAACATTATGGTTATGAAGGTGCTCTCAAAGGTGAGAGTAGAAAATTGCGCTCTGCCTGAGAAGTTGCAACATTTCAGAAAAGCCCGGGATCACAATGTTACTCAGTAAAGCAACAAAAAGAAAATCGTCATAATAATGTGTGATATATGCCATAAAGAGATAATAAAATAAACAGACACCGAAATCAACCCCTCAAGCGTGATACATGACCTAGCCAGTTACGAAATAGTGGAAAATCACCGGCTGAAGGAAATAACATTGTAAAAATAAAAATAAATAAATAAATAAATAAATAAATAAAAACCCCCGCGAAAAGTAATTGGAAAATCAATCTAGAACGAGATAGCAAAATTCAAATCACAACATGAGTAATCCCATCACGCGCAAAGCAGTCTCATCTGCCTTGCCCCATGGGGTCGCCTTTTCCAATTCAATCTGAGGAATCCATACTTCAAATGAACCCCCATTACCCACTCAACAAATAAACTACTGCCCCTTTTTCTCCGCCGCCTTCAGGCTCAGCTCCGCGTCAATAATTCCTTCCCCAACAATGCTCGACTCCCGCCACCCCCGCTGCCTGCCCCAAAACAAATCCGACGGCGACGAATCATGCTGGCTGAACCTGCGCGCATCCTCCTCCAATGACCCACGCGTGATCTTCGTACTAACATGGGCCAGGCCCTCCTCATCCCCACGGGTGGTGGCATCTTGCGAGTGGCGATGTTGTTTCTCAGCCTCAGCCGTAGCCGTAGCAGCATCCTGCGCCTCCCCCGCCACAACCGCATCAAAATACTGCTTCCTGACCAAAAAACGCTGCACCTTCTCCTGCCTCGTCGCCGGCGTCTCAATCTTGGAAATAACAACCTGCACCCCCATCCTCACAAGCAAATACAAATGCTCAGAGAAGAAGATGACAAGCAGCAGCACCCACCCCTTAATCAGACTCGGACTCCCGTCGGGTCCCACCCCGTCATTCGAGAACAGATACACCAACGCCGCATTCGTAATGCTGCCCAGCCACGCCAGGAACTCCAGCGAGGACACCCAGGACCCAATAGTGTCTGTGCGATGGGGTACGGGCCGCCGGCACTCGACGCACATCTTCACGAAGTCCGATCGCAGCTCGACCCAGTTGTTTATCAGGAATGAAACCGGGACGAGAGGCCAGACGACGGAGACGAGAGAGAGGTAGCCGAACTGCACGACCATCTCACGGTAGTCGGCGGAGACGTCGTAGTCGCTTAGCTGGGCCTCGGAGCGGACGCGGGCGAGGAATTTGGCTTCGCCCGGTGCGGCTTCCAGGATGGCTGCAGCGGTACTGCTGCTGGCGGAGGCTGCTTTGGGTGTGGATGAGCCGCTCTTTTCGGCCTTTTCCTCGGTGTATTCTTGGTATTTGCGGAAGAGATTGCGCTTGATGTAGGGTAAGACGACTTCTAGGCCCTGGTTGACGACTTGGGCGGTGACGGTGAAGTAGATGACCTGCTTGCGGAGGCGGGATGGGTTGATCTGGAAGGATACTACGGCATTTTGGGCCGGGTTCTTGTCCGCTGATGATGATGACGATGACGACGATGCGAATGGGACGGTTTTATGGAAGATATCCAGGTACGGTACTATTACTTTCCCGAATGGGACGTAGACGAAGGCTGTAAGCAAGACTGGGAGGTATGATGTGATGAAGTTAAGGACGAAGATTTTATGCGTCAGGGCCATGTCGTAGCCGTCTTGGGTCTCGTAGTTTTCGTAGTCGGTAAGACGCGTGGCCACCTTTGTTAAGAGGGTCGAGATTGTAGGAACGAATAGCGAGAGCAAGATTGTGGGAACGAACACCTGTTTTTACCGTGTAAGCGAGATATTTCACACCTCATTGTCGGAACAAGGGGGTCTTTAGTAAAACCTACTAGGTATGACTTAAATGGCCCGGCATATACTTCAGAAATAAAAATCTCAATGGCGAAACAGGTTGCTATTAGCGTTCCCAATGCAAGGATCGCAACGATGGCAAACGGGATTTGAAGAAGTTGTCTCCCTATCCGTGTTGTTTTAGGGAAAAACAGCACTTCTTCGCCAGTCACAGGATCAATGCGTTTAGACAGATACTTAAACTCCCTCCTCTTGGTGCGGATTTCAGAAACATTCTTGACCTGCCAGCGAATACGGAGATCCCCTTCCTGCCGCTTCCATAGCTCAGTAAACACAACGCATGAAAGGCAGTTCACTGTAGCATAGGTGATGGGAAAATGGCCCAAGAGGACCCAGCAAGCGAATCCAAAAGCAGCAGGAAAGATGAGGAAAGAAAAATATGACTGTAAAAAGGCAAAGTAGAAGCCAATTTTTTCTCCGTGATGATTCCGAATCTGATCAAGGTCATCGACGGTGAGGAAGGTCTTGCTGCTCCAGGACTTTAACCACGTCTTGTTGAGGAGTTTGTCGTGCAAAGGGAAGATTGAATCTACATGATCCCACTCGCCATGCTTAGGCGTGATTCCTGCGCCACCTTCGCTGGAGGGCAGGGTGATCATATTGTAGACCATGAGAAGACGTTCTGCGTCTGTCTCCGGAACACATGAACCCTTTGCATCGGGGTCAGGCCGAGCATTGCGTATACCATGCAGCCAGTCTTTCACCCTGTGAAGAAATGTTAAAATGCAAGAACCCAAGTTGAAACGGCATATATGGCGGTCAGGCTAAGACTATCCAATGGGGGGGGATTCGCTTACCTGGAACGGTAGATAGCTTTACCAATGAACTTTTCCTTGGCCTTCACAAAGATTAGAAGGCTGGAGTCCTTTCCTGGACGTACCTCAGTCTGCAGTCCGACGTCAGATAAAGCCGAGATGAGCTTCTTGAATTGCTGTATAGCGTCATTTTTGTCTGATCGCTCCGTCGTCAGCTATGGTGCTTTTCTTAAAAGTCAAATCATTGTTTTAATATAAACCGGGACCGACAGTGTGACAGCACGAACCAACGTTGGCAAAGCGGAAGAGAACTACATAGTCCACGTCGAAATTCTCCGTTAAAGCATTTCTGCGAGCAGCGTCATCTCCCATGGTGGGCTAGAATATGCAATGCGTATATATGGCTACTGGAGGTGCATAGCAGGAGAGTATCTGAGCAGTGTCCACTGATGGTTAGAAGAAGATGCTTCGAAGATGCTTTGCGGTGACGTTAGGTGAAGCTCTTTTCAAGTCTGTGTTGGAATTGCCAGTTCCAGCCTAGAGCCGCACCAAGCCCGCCCGGGGATCGCGCAGTTACGTCATTGTCGAATCGGAAGATCGCTGCAACCCGATTGGGACTGGTTAGGGTTTTGGTGGATGGAGCCCTATATCAGAGAATTAGAGAATAATTCCGCGGGTTGGAACAATTGAAGACTCCTTGAAGGTGAAGAGGAAGATCAGCAGATTATAGAGATTCATTGGTGTCTATGGGATATTATTCTGCTTTCGAGGTCGGCAGTTAGTTATGGTCAACTTTCAGCGGAGAGAGCCAGAGCTCCTCAAGCTCTTCAGAATATAGCTCCCGAGATAAGAGCCCATCAGCAGTCTCTAGGAGCTGGAGCCTGAGACGATAGAAGTTAACCCCCAGTAAGGGCAATGTGAAGCCCTACTGGGTGGTAGACTGTGTTACCTATATTTCCATTTGAAAGCATAATATTTCCCAAAACCCAGCCATATCAATCCGAAAACACGTCCAGAGATGACATATTTACATGGAGCTATGAACCTACCTCGGAATATCCCTGTATAAATGCAACAAGGATCCAAAAGAGCCCCTAATGAGAACAACCCTGTAGCTTTACAGCATCCAGCACTATCCACGTCAAATGCGTCTCATTTCACCGACTCTGATCGGCAGCTGCCAGCTTAGCCAACGCCTCTCCATCCACCATCATCTTCATCCACTCTTCCATCGGCTTGGCTCCCACATTCTCACTCGTATAGAACTTGATACTAGGCTCATTCCACCTCAGAACGCTCCACTCCAACCTCTTCCCGCCAACTTTACAAATCTCCGCCGCCAGCCGCCGCAGCAGAGCCAGCCCGTACCCTTTCCCCCGATGCTCCGGTTGCACATACAGGTCTTCGAGATAGATCCCCGGCGCAGACCGCCAGGTTGAGTAGTTGTAGAAGTAGAGGGCCATGCCAGCGGGTGGGGGGCGGGGCTGTGCGGGTGTCGCCGGGGGGCTGACGAGGAGGGTGTAGGTGCCGGAACATTTGGGTGGGAAGGAAGGGAAGGAGAGTGTTGCGCGTAGTGAGTCTACGGTTGCTTCGACTTCGTGAGAGGCGTTTTCGTACGCGGCTAGTTCTTGGATGAATTGGAGGATTATGTGGACGTCTGAGTTGGATGGATTGGTTGACAAGGGATATATTAGTATTGTCGCGAGGGTTGAATTGTATTACACGCAGAGGTGTGGATGGGTTGTATTGGGATCAATCGGCATATTATAAGCCATATATATGGGACGAATTCAGGTGACCTTACCGTCCTCAGTCGCAAGCCTTATTACGGGTGGTTCAATCATGGTGTGGGGAAGATATTTCGACTGGGGGCCAATTGTGTGAGATAGCAGCGGATGGTGCTAAACTAATTTTATGGGAATATTCGAAATATTATTTATACAGCTTTCTGGAATTAGGAACATATATCTGTCTCCATAAATTGTTTCTGCTGGTGGCAAAAACTGCCCCGCGCTGGATGTTGTCGAAGGGTGTTTTGCCCGCATTAGTCAGCCAGGGGGAGCCCGGAGTTTGCCAGCCGTAAACTCGCTATTGTATACACGCCAAAGGGAAACTTGTGACTGGATGTTTTGATATATTAAGTCTCAGTTTTGCTGCATTATCTGGCATAGCTGTTGTTGGGGCGTCAAATGTATCCTTTAGTTGTAGCACAATTGATAGTTAAATAGGAACAACAAGCATAAAAGCTTTTCCAATTGGACCGTTTTCTATTGTCGTTTCAATAGGGTCCAGGAAGCTTAAAAATATAATAATAACTGGTGGTATGATAGCTAATGGTGACATGAAAATTAACGCCTAGCACATGGTTGTGAAATCTAACAATTGCACCCGCATATCATATCCACTCATTGCAATGACTATGTCGTAGACCCAATGAAGTTCCATCGATTTGAGGTCAGATATAAAAAGTACCAATTCTATTTAGATGAGATCGCAGACATCCATTTTTGTTCATCATTCCTACACGTCGCAGAAGAGATGACAGTTAGCAGTTGTGTAAATATATCAGAGAGCGGAAGGAGAAGACGCAGCTTAAGGTAGACATACGTATCGAAATGCAGCAACATCCCTAACACCGGAATAAGCTGCTTCTGATAATTCTTATCCTTCTGCTCCAGAAACTGCAACAGCACATTCTTTAAATACACATAGTCAATCGACCCCGCGCCCGGTCCCGTCGGTGTTACACTCCTCACCCGCGAATACGGTGAGACCACACTACCACCGCCGCGGCGATGTTGCTGCACTCCAGAATCCAGCGAAGATCGTGGCGATCGTCCAGAACTATTATTCGAATCGAACCCGAGCCGCTTGCTAGCCTGAAACGCTTTGACCTCGTCCGTAAGCGCCTTGTTGGCTTTGCGCAGCTTTTCCAACCGCTGGTTCGTTTCCTCGACAGAACGACGCAGTTCTATTTTCTCCTTCTCGAGCTCCCGCGCCTGATTCTCACTCTCACCAAGCGCATCGCGCAACTCCGTCATTGCCGTTTGCACATTGCCAAGCTCTCGTTTCGACCGCTCCGTTTCGGCTTCCAGTTCTCTCTTGTCCTGCTCCGCACGGCGCAATTCTCGCTCCATATCCCGTGCTTTGGATTTCAGCTCTTCGATTTCCCTCGCACGTTTCCGCCCTGAAAGATTGGCTTCGTCTTCTGCCCGGTCACGCTCTTCAATGGCTGCTTCCAGACGCTCCTTAAAATCGCGAACCTTGGCATCTGCCCGCATCTCGACGTCTGATAGTAGCCGTCGCATCGTTTCGCCCTCTCGTGTCCGTTCGGAGAGTAGGCGATGGGCATCGGCGAGCTCTTCTTCAAGGCTCTCGCAGCGTTCGCGGGCTTCCTTTACTTGCATTGCCATCTCAGACGTTTGGTCACGCATGCTGTTCATGAGGCTTTGCGCACTGGCGTACTGCGCAGTCTTTAATTGAATTTCATCTCGTAAGTTTTCGATGTCTCTGTTTAGCTGTGTTACCTGCTCTTCAACTTCCCGGAGCCTTGTCCGCGACGACCTGAGCTCTTCTTGCGTCTTTGAGAGAAGTCTGGTTGTTTTCTCATTTGTTTCAATAGCCTCCTGCTTTTTGCTCTCAGAGTAGCGTAGGTCAGACTGTGCCACATCCAATGCTTGCTCTGCCTTGACTCGAGTTTTCGTCTCCTGCGTAACTTTTTGGTTTAGAGCTTTGATTTCGGCTTCCTGTTCCCCAATCTTGCCTCTCAGATTTTTCATTTCCGATCTAACATCCTCATGTCGTCTTTCCAACCGTTTTAGATCGTTGGTTTTGTTCTTGAGCTCTTCCTTCGAGGCTTTAAAGTTCTGCTGATTCAGTACGGAGAGTTCTCAATTCCGGTTGGAGCTTTTGAAATGTGTCTCGGAGGTCTGTTAAATCTTTGAAACGCGATGCTGCGAGTTGTTGAGTAGTAGTCAGGTCCGTTTGCAACGCTGTCGCCTTTATCTTTAACTCCTCGAATTCAGCGGCTAAATCCTTGTGTGCGCCCTCCGCTTCAGCAGAACTGGACGATGAGTTGGTGCGTAGGTCAACCAACTCCTTTTCCAAATCCTGGATTGTTTTCTCAAGAGCCTGCTTTTCTGTTTGGAGTTCATTAACCTTGTCCTTTGCTTCCATAAAGCTCTGCCCGATATCACGGAGGTCATCTCGTAAAGAATCAATTTCTTCTCGTAGGTCATCTTCTCCTTTAAGTTTAGAATCTAGACGGTTAATGGCAGCCTCCTTCTCTGAAAGTTGAGAAGTTAGTTTTACAATCTTGTTCTCAAGTTCAGCAACAGCAGCCGTATTATCAGAAATAGGGACTTCTATAGCTGGAGTTTGTGCAATTTCAGAAGATTCCTCCGCGCCACCTTTCCCACCTTTCTTCTTCTTCTTCTTGTTTTTCTTTTTCGCACCCTTAGTCGCAGGAGGAACCTGTTGATAAGGGATGTTTGGTTGTTCGTCGCTTACAATGAAGCTATTCCGAAGATCATCAAAATTGGCAGTTTGCCCATCTGATATACGCTGCTTGGCGACTTGCCATGTTTGATTGCCCTTGAGACCGCCATCAACGAAGGCCACAATCTTCTGAATGTCTTTTGCCTCAGCATCTTTGGAAGAAATCTCAGCCTTCAAAACCGATATAGTATTTTCTGCGTCTTTTAGCTGCGACTTGAGGTTCGTGACAATGTCTTGTAATAAACTCAACCGCTTTTCACCGGAAGTCTTCTGTTCCTCTGCAGCGGCTACTTTTGAACTTTCATCATCTTTCTTTTGACTAGTCTGTGTCAACTCTTTATTCTTTTCATCCAGCTGAGTCTGTAGCTGCTCCATGACAACACTTGATTTCTCCAGGTCTGTCTCCGCCACGGAAAGCTTGTCTTTCAGACCAGAAATCTGCTCTTCAAGTGTTTTCCGCTGACCTTCCAGATCCGCCTCATATCGATCTTTCGCCTCCTTCAGCCCCGTCAGTTCTCGGGTGGCCAATTCCAAGCTCTGTGCCATGCTTTCTGTTGACTCGCGCGCAACAGATAGATCCCCCTTAAGAGTTTTAACCTCCGCTTTCAAAGTGTCAACCTCCTCTTGTCGTTTGTTCAGCTCCAATTCTAAACGTGGTATTTCATTATCGAAAGAGAAGAACTCTTCACTCGCTTCCACAAGAGGCGGCGATGTTACTGCTTTCGTTTTCGGTGAAAACAATGATAGGCCAGGAATAGAGGCGCGAGCGGCTGTCGAGAAAGTTGGGGATTTCTGTGGATTTGCGAACGAGTTGCTTTCTGCAGGAACAAATGAGGTGTCGACTGTGGGTAGCGTCCTGCCGCCATTCATCTCTTCATCTTGTACGGAACCCTTCTCATCAGAGGAAACACTGCGCGCTTTCAGGCGAGCCACCTCCTCCTGAGCATCACGGGCTGATTTCTCGGCCTCTAAAAGTTTCCTTCTATATTCATCTCTTTCAGGAGTAACCCTCTTCAACTCATCTAGCACCATATCACCTTTCAAACTAATCTGATTTAGATACTCCGTTAACGCCTTAGGGTCACTTATTGAAGTTAACGGGGTATTCTCGCGTAGGGAGGCTTCAAAGGGCTCAATAGAGAGCACACGTGCGTGCGCAATTCGGTACGCTTTTAGCAGTTCTGTAGATGATTCCCAAAAGGAATTATATTTAGCCAACCAAGAAAGCACAAAGCACTGAGCAGCAGATGCCCACACGAACCTTGATATCTCCCTTCCAGCTTATCCAGCCTCCGTAGCTTCACCCTCACTTCGGTTGGCAACTCCGTCTGTGTGGTTTCCCCCGGTATCGCATCTGATGGACGCGCAGACTCTCGTCCCCTCTCGCCCGCCCCTTCCTTGTCTCCGGAAGCTTTCACATCTCCGCTTGTTTCTTGCATTTGAACAGGTGTGTTGGTCCTAGTGGACGAATCGTCATCGCCCACAACAAACTCCACGTCAAACTCAGCGGGATCGGGGCTTTTCGCTGGAAAACTATTCTCCCGTTTTAGCCTTGCGGTGCGGGAATCGGCTCTTATGTTGGAACGACGGGTGCTGGAGTTAGGTCGAGAAAGGGAGTGAGCCTCCTGGGCTAATTTTTGTCGAGCCTGCTCTTCTGCAATGCGAGAATCTATGGCTCCCTTGATTCGCTGTTATGTAAAAGGTGGTCAGAACGGATTTGTACAAATCTGGGGGTTGCGGTGAAAATGTCACAGCGTACCTGGAACATAGCCGTGACCTCGTGTGGAGGTGATTCTGCCAGCAAATAAGAGGGTACGAGTTCCGAATTATATAGTAGATAATGAGATGTAGAAGGAAAGGATTGTGAATTAAATCTAGTTGTGTCTTAATTCATCTGTTGTTGGAACTTGGAAGGGTATGTATACGGTTGGTTGTGTCGGTCTGGACCCTGTGCTGAGTTAGCTTGAGTTACCAGACAAGGTGGCGCCAAGCATTTGCAAGGTTCTCCTTGACGCCTTAAGCTTGAGTGAGATATTCCAACAACAATGGGTAGGTATATTGGATGAAAAGATTCATTTGTCCGGAGTGGAGTAAAATTGAGTCCATTCAAAGTAGAGTACATGAAATTAGACACAACAAATTGTCTGGTGTCAAATTGTTAACAAAAGGTACAAATTATAAAGAAGCAGGGAACGCATCAAGCCAAAGTAGTTATAATCGCAAAGATACTCGACAAGATGTACGGTCAAAATTAAGCAAGGGAGAGAGGGAGAGATGATCTAATAGAGTACAATAGATAGCAAAATATTGGAATGCTCATGAAAATGGTCCGTAATAAAGAAACCCCCCCCACCCTCCCAAAAAGAAAAAGAAGGGGAGAGAGAAAAGAAAGCAACGCAGGGCGGGATATCATCGGGATATCATTAAATTCTCACAATCATTAACACCAACATAATCCTCCCATAAACTACCCCTGGACCTCCGCCACAAATGGCGGAATGTTAATATCAAACTCCTCCCAGTCACGCGCTGCCCTACCCATAATACATTTCGTTCGGTTTAGCAACTCCTGGTCCGGCGCCTTGGTATGTCCACGCATATAGCTTCCATCGTGTGTCCGCAAATGCTTCATAAACGAGTTAACATTCCCAAATACGGGCGCAGAACTCCGCTGCTCAGTGCAACAGTATATGCAGCCATAGCTACATGTCGACCCGTCAGTGATTGGTGGGACTTTCCGGCAAAAGACATGCGATTTGGCTAGGAACGCCCAGCGGTATCGGATGCCCGTCTCCTGATGGACGCGGACGCGCTGGTCAAAGGAGCGGGATGGTTTGTCGAGAGGAGTGGTGCAGGAGAAGCTGGGTGCCTGCATCATTGTGGTTGGAAGGTTATCGGAGAAGAGGTCCGTGGGACCTTCGAAATTGCATTTGGTACAGCGCCAGAAGAGGTCTTGCGAAAACATCCCCGACGGCCGTTGCTCGGATCGTATCGCTTTCCCCATTCCTGTTTGCATTCTCCATGCGCCTTTGCAGAAGCCGGCAAAGTTGTTCTCTTCGCTGGGTAGATAGAAATTAGGAGGAGAGTCGTTTTCGATGGTAGATGTGCTCGTGCTGGGAGATCTTGGCGGGCATTCTGGTCGTCGCCTGTGTTGTAGAAAATTATTGGATTTCGGGGTCGACAAAAAAATGGATCTAGGCATATCGCCTGGCGGGGACGAGTAGAGATGTCCAAACCCCCACACATTTGGTGCGGGAGCAGATGGTAATCTGCCAGGTTGAGTTTGCAGGGGATATTCAAGCGTATTATTAACTTCTTTGCGCCAATTATTATGCCGAGATTCGTTCTTTAGACGATGGAACTCCTTCTGGTCTTCAAAGGGGAAACTCCTTGGGCCTAGGGATTCTGGTGCCATTGCATCAACACTATATAGATCCTCCAGTTCATCACTAGCTTCCCTTACTGTCAATATGGGGCATTGAGTCACATTGTTTCTATTTGCAATGCACAGCTCGGGGTCCCAATCAATCGTGTCGATTTCATTGGCTGGTAGCTCAACGGGTGGTTTCGACCTAAAGCGAAGGGATCGCCGATGGGCAGAAGAGCTGACACTTCCTTCCGGAATCATTGGATTGGCGATATCAGAAGGGGTTGACATATTTTCCGACTCCGTGGTTGGCGAGCGGGAAGATGCAGAATGGCTTCTTGCATCTCCAGAGAATGCGCTTTGCGCTACTGAGCTTTGTGAAGATTCCGGATTTGACAAGTCATTGTGGGATGGGGTTTCCACGGCTCCATGTTCAGGGGTGGAAATGATCGACAAATTTGGATTCGAAATGCTGGGTCCGAGGCGTTTACCCAACTGGCTCAAGCAGATTATCGAGCCAATCCGACCGTTGTCGGAGGATGCTTGCAAGGTGTCAAAGTCCAAATCGAGATTGCCCATCAAAGTCCGCTTGAGCCCGACAAGCAAGGTATCTTGCAGATTTCCCAGAATTAGCTTCATATTTTCTCGAGCGGTCTCATCCCCGTCCTCATATGTTTGGCCAATAGCCTTGACATCTAAACCATATTGGCCTTGTACTATGGGGGGTCCGAGGGCGAGGGAGTTTTCCAAGCTTGCCAGAGCATCTTTAGACAACTGTCGGTTGCTGTGTTGCTTAATGTGCCCGACCAAATTTGAAGCATCCAGATAAGCAGTCACAACTATGTTGGATCTGTCAGTATAGGTGCAAAGCGGTAAATTGACCCAATCCAAAAATGAAATAATTAAAATAGAAAAAGGAGAGGTAGGTGGGGTGTTGAGAGAGTGGGACAAAGAAACCGCTGGGGGGGGGAATGATGAGCAATATATATACCTGCAGAAATGTAGTCCACTACAGGAAGCATCTCGGGTTGCGACGTCATTTGTTGTACCGGGACTCCTCATGCGAGGGATTTTCTAATGGCCAAAGTCGAGTTACTAGAGAGAGTGTTGGAGAAGTAAGAGAGGGGGAAACGAAGTGGTCTCGAAAAGTACAACTCAAGGTCTGCCGTTGGAAGAGAAGCATACATGCAAACTTGCTGAAAAGACTCGAGGCCAAAGGATGTCAGAAGGCTTGGATAACAGTTCAAGGCATCAAGCCTCAGGTCTTGACAGACGAGAATCTGGTGAAAACGCGATCAAAATACCGGATGCAGTAGCAGGAACACATAAAATGGGACAAATGGGACAAACGAAAGGAATGATGCAATGCATCAATTCTTTGGAGGAGGCTGGCGAAAGCAAATTGTTAAGCGCAGCATAAATCCGGAGGAAGAGATCAGCCCAATTATTTGGATCCCGAGATTCAGCAAATGGTGGCTAATGAAAACCCTTGCCCTTTCCTGTGGTTAACTAAAGGTACTTCAAAAGGTTGAGTGGGGTATCTATGGAAGAAACCAACACGGGCGGAAAATTGACGGAGATATCACAGAACCTATCCTGCGATTCCCATTCTCATTATTGCGGACGAATCTCATTGTTATTTAACTCCCCTCGGCGGGTCCCCTGCTCTGGTAAAATGTAGCCCAGCCGGCACTTGCTGATTGACCAGAGGGATAAAACCTTCTGTGGCTTAAACGCCTTTGACAAAGGTAGCCCCATAATTTGAATCAAGGACACACAAGTAACAAGGTTGAAAGGGGAGAGAGAGAGAGAGAGAACCCTGGTCTCAGCTTCTTCTGTCTTTCTGGGGTGATTATTGCTGGGTTCATGGGAGGTCAACGCCTGTATAGTTATCATCAGTTCCTTAGCAAGGGTTAACTCAAAACTAGTTTAACATTCATGTCGCAGACCTGTAGCTTGATCGTTTGCGGAATGCGTCTGGCTAAGCATCCTTGGCAATTTTAACTGCTCGTCTACAATATGTGTATGGACGGGGTGTTGCAATTCCCCAACCGTGCATTGAGATCACCTGGACCTTGGCTGGAGGGTTTGACCTTGTAATCCAGTTGGAAGATCAAAGTTATGGGGTGAGCGGGGGTGGAGTTGTTGGAGGGGAGCCTTGGAGCCAAGCAGCAACAAACAGCTATTTATTTAGTTAACGATGAAAAGCATTTCCTGGGGCAAATGTGGTCTGTTTCTCAAGCCAACATCGTAAAGAGACCAGGGAGACCCATGCTTAAAACCATGAGGTATTTTTGTAAACCTGCTTTTAAAGCCTTTCTTCTTGTTCTTTTTCCTTCTTCTGTTCTGATGAACGAATGTTTCATCTTCACAATACAATGTCTTGATTGCTTGTGCCTCCATTTTCTGAAGATGCTTTAGAGATAGCTAGTTAAGGGTGAACCTCAACTTGTCCCTCTACGGATGCAAACCATCAAGCGACCTGCAACCAGATTTGCCCCGGACTGACAGCTTTCAAGCATGTTTTAGATGGTAGGGATGGGGCTCAACACAAACTCCTCTAAATTCCAGTGAAAATTCAGTCTCAAACCATTCTCTGTGATTGTTTACCTTCGCGAGGTCCTAGCCGCCCCCAGGGTATCAGCGTACGTTCTTTGTTAGGGTTATGGCCATTTTTCTTTGTGCTTTGTGGTCTCCTCAACAAAGAAAATATATTTCTTCAAATTCCGGGTTTTTGGAGTATGCATTTACAGATAAAGCTCGAGCGGATCTTGGCTTGCTCAGAGATCTGTAGGTTTCAAAAAAGGGTCAAACGAAAACGAAAAGTTTTTCGAACTTCAACATTCCGATATTGAATCCGCCCCTCTCGAATCTCAGGTCAATATGGTAGTTTCTTAAACACCACAATCATATCTTCTTGAAAGACTAGTGTCAACACCAAGGACATTTTCACTTGTCGCAGCCGATAAAAAACTGGACAGGAGATCGTACAGAACGTAAAGTCGCGAAGCTGGACTGAACAAACCCTAGCAAGGCAAGGATATCAGAATACACAGCCAGACAACATGGGAGTTAAGACCCGGAATTTCGAGACTCGCCATTCATCCCGTGTTTTCTTAGTCGATACGGATCCCCGGATACCAGAATGATACCCTGAGTTTGGAGAAAGATTCGAAAAGAAATGCCCTAAACTCAGCAAGCCAATCGTTATTAGAGTTTTGCTTTGAAACAACAAAAGAAGTTAAGCCTTTTCATGAATATCGTCAATATCTTAACTCTCTGTGGTCAGAGGTAAAGTATCTATCTAGATCGCGTAAGAGAAAGATCATTTCTACAACTGTCAGTCAGGATCCACCAGCACACGGCAGCGTACGTTGTCCCAGGTAATTAAACAACGAGAGAAAAACAAAAGCTTACTCCATTATAGGGAGCAGAAACGTAGTCCAAAAGCGTGTATGGATGGAGTATGAGCTCCATTCACTGATCCCTTTTGGAAGGTTTGAACTAAAACTCAAGACAATCTGAGAGAGCGGGGGGGTTTGATGGGACACAGTTTTGTGCCCAGGAACCAGACCAGGGTGTTAAGCTTTTCCTCGCCTTGGAAACCCCAGATACAGTAGAAAATATATAAATTTAATTAACCCCGAGAGTTTAGCTGTTCAAGTTGCGGGTCCTCCCTTCCTTAGCGCGGTTTAAGCGCCAACTCGAACTAAATAACCGCCTAACACAGCCATTGCCGCTCCTGTCCCTACGCGGCAACAAGGATAAAACATCTCCTCCATAGAGAAATACAGGTAGTCAGATCATTCTCTCGTGTTTCTCCAGTGTGATATACAAAGTTCTGGAATCGAATAACGTCGAGATATAACATGGATATCATTGATGTACCAAAGCTAAATGTTGGGATGGACATGCATACCTCGCCCGAGATTTGAAACTGCAGTTAGATCCAAAGAACATGTACTGTACATCACCTTTGCCGGCAGTTAGTCGTGCAAGAACTAACTTTCGTGCATGAGGGCGGAGGGGGTAGGGGAGGGGAAACTCTCAGATTCGCGGGGTGACATTTGAGCTTGAACGCAGTAGACTTGCCAACAAAACACTTCGTGCTGCAACTGCAAGCTTATGACGAGGAAAGGATTAATATGCATATCTAGAAGGATCCATAGCTCATGTATGCCAGTTGATTGGAATAGTCGAATGTGCCAACTGCCCCTTTGCACAAAGGGATTGATGGGGAGTTAGCCACAACGACCACATGGAAATATTGATCGAGAACAAGAAAACCACATTGGGAAAACCCAGGCAACGTAAAAATACATTTCACATTAATTTTCTACCAATTGCCGTGCCATGACACCTAGACATTACAGGTGCATCACTCCGTGGCCCGTAACAACAGACACCAGTAAAACCTCATGGAAACAATCCGAAGCCCTACACGCTCCTGAAGCACAGCGGGTTAAAACAATGGGGATAGAAAATCCGCAGGCAACGCAACGCCTATGAGCAAAGGAAATTACGATCACCCGAAAAACAGTCGAATAACGTGAGAAAGAAAAAAAAGGGAAAACGGGTGATAATAAAACACAATGGTAGAACGGAAGGGACATGTGATATTCGAAGGAAAAAGGCAAAAACACGGAAGAAGAGACGAAGAAACATCCAGTGTAAATGCATCAGATATGTGGGGAATGCACGTAACAGACGGAAATGGCAAACTCTCATTTCGCGGCGTCCGGCGTTCAGCGGAATGAGAGAGGCGGGAGAGCATACCATCTATGGGCAGCTAAAACAAAGCAAGCAGGGCAAGCATAACATAACAGGTCGCAACCTTCGTAATTGCGCAAAAAAGGAACCAACAAGGAGAAAAATTAATAAGTAGAAAAAGGAAAACTACTGTACTACCAGCTGCATCACGAAGGACAAAACGGAGCGAGCTCAGCAACATCTCCTCTGCTTATTCTGCATCGAACCCACTTGGACATGAACGGGCTCCTCGCCCAGGACCAGACCGGGCGGGAACCCAAGCCAGCTCCGACGCTTGTCAGTCGTTCCGCCGCGAACGCTGCCGTGCCCGTCGGACACGCCGCCCTCCATACGTGGCGGTATCCGTTCAGCACCACTCCAGCCGTCCCGATTTGCAGCATCGGCCTCTACCTTTTTGTTCCGCTGCTCGACAAGTTTCCGCGTAATGACGCGGAATACCTCCTCGATGCCCTCACCATCCTTAGCACTGATCTCGTGGCAGCAGTCCCATCCGATATCTTGGCCCCAGAAGCCGCTGCTCCGCTTGCTTTCAGGGCCGGAGGCTTGGTTATGATTATGGTTATGGTTATGATTGGAGTTTGAGGTGCCAAAGGTGGAGGGACCGAGCATTCCCAGGCCGGAACTGGGTGGTGGAGTCGAAGCTTGGGAGGGGTAAAGTTGCTCAGCGACGTAGGCGATGGTGCGTTCAAAGGGGACTTTGCGGAGATTGGGGTCGTCGGCCACGATGTCGGATTTCGTGCCGACGACGTGGATGACGATGGGAGAGTCCTCGCCTAGGTTCTGTTTCAGCTCGACTAGCCAACCGGCCATTTCCTGGAAGCTGTTCTCGTCTGTGATATCATAGCAGAGCAGGCCGGCGTTGGCGCCCCGGTAGTAGAGACGGGAAATGCTACGGAAGCGTTCCTGGCCCGCGGTGTCCCAGATCTGCAGGCGTACGACGGTGTCGGAGGTGGTGTCGAGGACACGTTTTGTGACAAAGGAAGCACCAACGGTGGAAGCTGTTGTAGCGGGGTTGAATGCATTTTTCACGTAACGTTGGACGAGAGAGGTCTTCCCCACGCCTGAAGGAGTCGAGTTAGTACGCAAGTAGTGAAAGGTAATACAAAAACACCTTCTTACCTTGGGCGCCTAGGACGACGATTTTGGCCTCGAGACTGGAGCTCATAGCTAGGGAGGGAAGCTTTCAAGGCCGAATAGTGTTCAGCACGGCAGAAGAGACGGAAGGAAAGAGCAGGGAGAGGACATGTTATTGTGGGGGGAATTATCGAGA